ATACAGCTCACAATCAAAAGGCTACCGAGTCTACAATCTTCAGACAAAGAAACTAACAATCAGTAGAGATATTGAAGTAGATGAAAATGCTACTTGGAACTGGGAAGAAGAACGAATTGAGAAGAAGACTATATACATGCCCATCAATCAACTAATTACATCAAGTCTGGAAGACAACAATCAAGACATTGTTATCTCTCCAGAATCTCCAAGAATAGTTCCACAACAAGAAGAATCTTCACCTGAGTCTACTCCAAGACGAGTTAGATCACTAGTAGATATATATGAAACCTGCAACTTGGCCATACTTGAACCAGGAAGCTTTGAAGAGGCAGCAAACCAAGAAGTATGGGTCAAGGCTATGGAAGAAGAAATTAAAATGATTGAGAAGAATGATACATGGGAGCTCGTAGATTGCCCTCATGGAAAAGATGTCATTAGAGTAAAATGGGTATATAAAACAAAGCTTAATCCTGATGGAACTATACAAAAACACAAAGCAAGATTGGTCGCTAAAGGCTACTCACAACAGCCAGGAGTGGACTACAATGAAACATTTGCTCCAGTCGCACGCCTAGACACAATAAGAGCTCTAATAGCTCTTGCGGCACAAAAAGGATGGAACATCTACCAATTAGATGTCAAGTCTGCATTTCTCAATGGCGTACTCGAAGAAGAGATCTATGTGGAGAAACCACCAGGATTTGTGATGAAAGGCCATGAAGGCAAAGTGTTGAGATTGAAGAAAGCTTTATATGGCCTGAAGCAAGCTCCTCGAGCATGGTATAGCAAGATCGACCAGTACTTCACTAATCATGGATTCAGGAGGAGTAAGAGTGAGCCTACACTATACATCAAGACTCAAGGTCAGCATACTCTCTTACTCTCTCTGTATGTAGATGATCTTATTTATACTGGAACCAATACAAATATGATGATGGAGTTTAAAGAAGACATGATGAAGACCTTTGAGATGACTGATCTTGGCTTGATGAGTTACTTCCTCGGTATAGAGGTAAGTCAGCGAAATGATGGAATATTCATCTCACAAAAAAAATATACAGTAGCTTTACTAAAGAAATTTAATATGTATGGATGCAAACCTGTAAGTACACCGCTAGTAACGAATGAGAAATTACAAAAGGTGGATGGAGCACCAGAAGCTGATGCTTCCCGATACAGGAGTCTAGTCGGAAGTCTTCTATATCTCACAGCCACAAGACCAGACATTATGTATGCCACAAGTCTTCTATCAAGATTCATGCAGAAGCCAAGTCAAATTCACTATGGAACAGGAAAAAGAATATTGAGATATCTACAAGGCACAAGGGAGCTTGGTATATGGTATAAAACCATGACCAAATCAAGGATGATTGGCTATACCGACAGTGATTGGGCAGGATCAATAGACGACATGAAGAGTACATCAAGATATGCCTTCTCACTAGGATTTGGATTTTTCTCTTGGACATCAAAGAAGCAAGCAACAGTTGCACAATCAACAGCAGAAGCAGAGTATATAGCAGCTGCTGAAACTACAAGTCAAGCAATATGGCTAAGGAGAATACTTGAAGAAATGAGTGAACGACAAGATGGACCGACTGTTATATACTGTGACAACAGATCAGCAATAACAATGGCAAAGAATCCAGTTCAACATCAAAGAACGAAACACATAGCCATCAAATATCACTTCATCAGAGAAGTAGAAACAACTAAACAAATTCAACTTGAATACTGCTCAACAGAAGATCAAGTTGCAGACATATTTACAAAGGCACTACCGAGAACAAAGTTTGAACAACTACGAACTATGCTTGGTGTTATAGAAATTTGCAAGGAGGAGTGATAAAATGCTGCAAATTTCTAAATTCTAGAAACATATAGAAACAGAGAGAAGCATCAGGAAGCTATTAATTGTATATTAAAAAAATATTAGATAATTCTAGGAACACAATTCTAGAATGAAGTAAATAATAAAAAATTCAAAAATCACCTTTGATTGTCGGTGGTTCAAGCCTATAAATAGGCATAGCCTCCGTGCATTGAGTGTATGAAAAAATTACAATCTAGTGTCTTTCACTATTTTACAAAATCTGTGCCCTGTTCCTTCAAATATTTTTACATAACTATTTTTTCAACTGATTCCACTTCATTATACAGTTTGTTCTAAATCTATCACCCAATAACCTCAATTAGCAACAAACGGAAAACTTGAGTGTTATTAGTTCAAGAAACATAGACCTAATGAATTCAACCTATTATACTCACCATAACAAATAGCTACTACTATTTATGTTGAAAACGGTATTTGAGACAACAATTGTTAGTAAAACATAAAGAAGAACATTCTTCCACCCTCTGATACTTTGACATTCACAAAAGTGCAGAGACTCTTAAGATATCATTGTATATTCGTATCTTATCGATCCTAAGTAAAGATAGGAATAAAATAGATAGATCCTGCAGAAACAATGATACACCAGATCCCATTCTGAGTCCCTTGAAGGAAACAAAAGTTAAATAAAGGAGCTTACTCAGAAATCGCTTCAAACACAGATCCAAACGAACCACGCCCCAAAAGTTCACCCTTTTGCCAGCTACCCGGGGTAATAATAACATGCTTACCCTTATTTCCTGCAACCATATATAGTTCAACTCATCCATTTGCTTTTCAATAACCCTCACAAGAACAGCAGAAAGAAGAGTACCAGCCGCATCTGTTGGCATGGTTGCAGATCTGAACAAGACTCAGTGCACAACTAGCAGTGATGAGCAAGAGCAAGAGCAAGACAACCCGTGTGCTTCTTTTCTTCCCCCAATTGACAATTTTTTTCTTTTATACTATTATCAAACACATTTTGTGCCTTTATGCTTTTTTTTTTTTTTTTCTTTTCTCAAACACATTTTGTACACGGTTTTTATAATTTGCTGCAATAAAAAAAATTGAAAATTGCTGAAATAACATCAAAGAAGCAAGCAACAGTTGCACAATCAACAGCAGAAGCAGAGTATATAGCAGCTGCTGAAACTACAAGTCAAGCAATATGGCTAAGGAGAATACTTGAAGAAATGAGTGAACGACAAGATGGACCGACTGTTATATACTGTGACAACAGATCAGCAATAACAATGGCAAAGAATCCAGTTCAACATCAAAGAACGAAACACATAGCCATCAAATATCACTTCATCAGAGAAGTAGAAACAACTAAACAAATTCAACTTGAATACTGCTCAACAGAAGATCAAGTTGCAGACATATTTACAAAGGCACTACCGAGAACAAAGTTTGAACAACTACGAACTATGCTTGGTGTTATAGAAATTTGCAAGGAGGAGTGATAAAATGCTGCAAATTTCTAAATTCTAGAAACATATAGAAACAGAGAGAAGCATCAGGAAGCTATTAATTGTATATTAAAAAAATATTAGATAATTCTAGGAACACAATTCTAGAATGAAGTAAATAATAAAAAATTCAAAAATCACCTTTGATTGTCGGTGGTTCAAGCCTATAAATAGGCATAGCCTCCGTGCATTGAGTGTATGAAAAAATTACAATCTAGTGTCTTTCACTATTTTACAAAATCTGTGCCCTGTTCCTTCAAATATTTTTACATAACTATTTTTTCAACTGATTCCACTTCATTATACAGTTTGTTCTAAATCTATCACCCAATAACCTCAATTAGCAACAAACGGAAAACTTGAGTGTTATTAGTTCAAGAAACATAGACCTAATGAATTCAACCTATTATACTCACCATAACAAATAGCTACTACTATTTATGTTGAAAACGGTATTTGAGACAACAATTGTTAGTAAAACATAAAGAAGAACATTCTTCCACCCTCTGATACTTTGACATTCACAAAAGTGCAGAGACTCTTAAGATATCATTGTATATTCGTATCTTATCGATCCTAAGTAAAGATAGGAATAAAATAGATAGATCCTGCAGAAACAATGATACACCAGATCCCATTCTGAGTCCCTTGAAGGAAACAAAAGTTAAATAAAGGAGCTTACTCAGAAATCGCTTCAAACACAGATCCAAACGAACCACGCCCCAAAAGTTCACCCTTTTGCCAGCTACCCGGGGTAATAATAACATGCTTACCCTTATTTCCTGCAACCATATATAGTTCAACTCATCCATTTGCTTTTCAATAACCCTCACAAGAACAGCAGAAAGAAGAGTACCAGCCGCATCTGTTGGCATGGTTGCAGATCTGAACAAGACTCAGTGCACAACTAGCAGTGATGAGCAAGAGCAAGAGCAAGACAACCCGTGTGCTTCTTTTCTTCCCCCAATTGACAATTTTTTTCTTTTATACTATTATCAAACACATTTTGTGCCTTTATGCTTTTTTTTTTTTTTTTCTTTTCTCAAACACATTTTGTACACGGTTTTTATAATTTGCTGCAATCATTCACATCATGTCTCATGTTATTTGTTCATATTTCACACAGCCTTATTCATAATTGTTCCTTATAGGGTTTCGCACAAGAACCCACAGAGCACTCTAATTTATATCAAAACATATCTAATTTTGAATTTAAATACATATTTACACTCTACATCACACAAGGAACTCAACAGAGCATTCAAAAAGCAAAACAGAAAACATTCATATTTTGCCTATTACTCATAAGGTTCTCTCAAGAACCCATAGAGCACTATAATTCGTATCAAAACATATTCATTTTCAAAATCAATCACATATGCATACATCACATCCAATAAGGAACACAATGAAAAAATAAAAAAGAAAAATAGAAAACATTCCTATTGTGCCTATTTCTCATAGGATTTTCCGTAGGAACCCATAGAGCACTCTAATACATATCAAAACATGATCATTCTCAAAATCAATCACATATCTACACATCACGTCTAAAAAAAAAGCCTAACAGAACAATCAAGAGGCAAAACAGAAAATGTTCACATGTTGCCTGTTCCTAGAAGCATCCATGCAGGCAAGGTATTGGGGGCCAATCCTACTACCCAACAATTATTCCCACACCCCCGAGCGAGATTTCTCACTCCCCCCTTACCTGGATCAGCAGAAGACGAAGCTAGAGCGAAATCTGGTCGATCTCCTTCTCTTGGTTCTCCTTGGTCTCCAGAGAGTGTGTCCAGAAACACTGCCAAAGTGCTCTATTTATAGATTTCAGGAGTGGCTAAAACGACCCGTTTCAAATCCGGAATGGCCCGTTCTGGATCCTTTCATCGTGTGTTAAATTCTCATCTGGAACGGCCCGTTCTAAAACCAGAACAATCCGTTCTCAACTAGGGTTACAAGCCTTTTGGGTGGTTTGGAACGCCCTGTTCCCATCTAGAATTTGTAGGCCATTTTAGTAGTTTGGAATGACCCATTCCAGTTTGAGAACGGCCCGCTCTAGGCTACACGCTTGTTTTAGTAGTTTGGAACGACCCATTCCAATTTGGGAACGGTCCTTTCTGGGCTACTAAGTCACACTAAAAATTACTAAATTACCCTTATTAAAAAGCATGAAAACTGGGGTGTTACACCACTCCACCACACTACTTCACGCAACTCCTTGTTGGTCAGAACCTTCCATGAGTAACCCTTTTTGAGATATTTTTCTGCTTTTAAGATCAAAGATTGACCCCACAAACCCCACAAATCAACACAAGACTTTTCAGCGTGCCTTGTCATCACTTGCACATTTTTCTGGAAAACTTCCGAAAAGGTCACCCATTCCTAAATTATTCCATGTTAAGCTAAGCACGCTTAACTGTGAAGTTCTTAAGGATTAGGCTATCAAAGAGTAAATGTATCTCATTGGTATAAATAGTACAAATTAATTCCAAGTCATCTTTAACTATACAATCTCATACTTGTACAATATTTGGATTCCTCTCATTCTAATATATTTAAAAAATTACAATATAATATAATACTATAATTTTTATCTAAATTAAAAAATATTAATATTTTAGTTTGTGTATTTCACAAGTTACATTTTTATTATATATAATTAAAATTTATAATAAATTCTATATAAAAATAAATATTATAGTTAAATCAATAAATCATATTTAAAATTTGTATACAGATATATTAAATGAAAATTAGTAACTAATCAAAGAATAATTAACTTCTATATATAAAAGCACAAATGTCTTTCTTGTGCCATAGCGTTTTTTAGAAACTTTTCTTTAACTAGAAGAATTTTATATATTTTTTAATTTTCTATCTAATATAGTTTTTATTTATCATTATTACTTATAAATTAATTTTATTATTTTTAACATAAATTATTAATATAAAATAATTACTCACAGATATTCTGGGGGTAACTATCTATTTTAATTTTTATTTATCATAATTACTCATAATATAATTTTTATTATTTTTAACATAAATTATTAATAAAAAATAATTACCTACGGATTTATCCGCGAGTAATAAATAATAAAATTAATTTATAAGTAATTATGATAAATAACAATTAAATTAGATAATTACTCGCGAATTTATCCGCTGGTAATTACCCACGGATTTATCCATGGATAAATCAGGGGGTAATTATCTAATTTAATTTTTATTTACCACAATTACTTATGAATTAATTTTATTATTTTTAAAATAAATTATTAATAAAAATTAATTATCCATGGATATTTTCGTGGATAACTCCCAGGGTAATTATCTAATTTAATTTTTATTTGTCATAATTACTTATAAATTAATTTTATTATTTTTAAAATAAATTATTAATAAAAAATAATTACTCATGAATATATCCGTGGGTAATTCTGGGGGTAATTATCTAATTTAATTTTTATTTATCATAATTACTTATAAATTAATTTTATTATTTTTAACATAAATTATTAATAAAAAATAATTGTCACGAATAAATCCGTGGGTAATAAATAATAAAATAATTTGTAAGTAATTATGATAAATAAAAAATTAAATTAGATTACTACCTACGGATTTATCCGTCGGTAGTTACCCACAGATTTATCCATCGGTAATTACCCACGGATAAATCTGTGGGTAATTATCTAATTTAATTTTTATTTATCATTATTACTTATTGTTCTTACCTAAGATCGTTGGGTGAGACGATTTCTAGGTAAGATCAGTGAGCCTCCTCTGCTTGGTACGTCTGCTGCTCCGAGATGGGGTTGATACCTGCAAAAGAGACTCCAATGCTTAAGTTCGTCTTTGTGGGTGTATGAGTCTCATATATATAATGCACGTACCTTGATATAATTAGGGTTTTCCCTTGTTGATAATTGAGATTGTTAGGATATGATAAGATCTCCTTCTTATCATCTTATTTTATCTGTTGGAGAGATGGGTCGACCTTCCGAGTTGGCGTGGTCTAAGCCCATCGTCGTCAAGGTGGGCCCTGGTGCCGATGTGGGTGGTACACTAGCCCCCCGAGCTCCGAATGCTTTTGGTTGAGGAGTTAGTGCCGATGTGGGCGATACACTAGCCCCCCGAGCTTTGAATGCTTTTAGTTGAGGAGGTAGTGTCGATGTCATGTGAGGGGTCGTGGCTTTTCATTTTGATCTTTTAGGTTGAGTGCCACGTATCGTCGAAACGTCACCTCGAAACGTTGCCTCGTTTCGCGAATCGGGGGCGGCTTGTCATAAAGAGTGACGGCTTGTAATGATGGGGCGTGCCTTATCATTATGAGCCTTACTTAATGCCCTTACCTCCGTGTCATTTTTCACTTTAAACCATCACTTCACTCCTTATTTCCCCACAACTTCTTCTTTGTCTTCTTCGTTCCCTTTGTCTCCCTCTTGCCTATGTTCTTTGTCCTTCCACCAAGGGGTTGATCATAGACGTCCAAGGTAGGAAGAATCTCC